ATTGTAGAACACTGCAGTCCAAGATATCTTGCCCCCTCTTTCTCCAGGGCAAACGATTGGAATTGCAACGTAATCAAGATATCACAAGATTGAGTTTTAGCTTATGGGATTTCTCATTTACTGGATGACTTTAACTGTAGAAAAATGCTATTTCAGAAAAAAACATAAAAGGCTCTAAAATGAATTCATAACGAAAGGTTATAATTCCATAAAGGTATAAATCCAATTTGCTAACTGAAAGAGGCTGAAAACTCTAACTGAAACGTTTTCTGAATTAGTAATAAAGAGCTTATTTTCCTGCAATGAAGTACTCTTTACAAAATTTTGTTTAAAAATTGATCGTTCGATTTACATTTTATGCAGCCAAAGTTAACCATTAAGTTACTACTCAGGTTACTTCAGTAACTAAACCCGTGGCAAAACACTTGAAATATGCTTCTTACGTATGATGTAACATAAATTTTGGCTAAAGTAAAACATTAAACTTCGCTGTAAATCACTTAATATTGTTTGCATTTTCGTAATTGTGCCAATTTAACGATTGTCATTTGTAGTCTTTGAAAAAAATGAACCATGTCAATGTGGTGAAGCTTAAGGAAATCATCCGCGAAAACAATACGTTGTATTTTATTTTCGAATATATGAAACAAAATTTGTACGAGCTTATGAAAAGTAGGTAAGTGACTGATTTTATTCACGCATATCTCTTACTACTGCTCATCTTATAATTTTCATGATAAAATGATGTGGCTGGCTGTAGAGGACTTTACTGATATTCGAAAATAATCTGTTTCCATAGTTGTATGAAACCTTAGTGAACAACTGCTTACTTATTATTTGTAATATTTTAATGTACGGGTGGCCTTTAATGCTGCTTAAAATTTGCTAGTTCGCCCCTGCCACTCATGGTATTGACGCCATCCAAAATTATGTTCCGCCTCCGTCGTCACACGGGCTACCAAGGGCTGCGCAGGCTGTTGGGGGACTGAGGCAGACTGCAAAAAGTCGGCGATCAGAACCTGTTCATTGCCCTCTGCCAGCCGGGGGATTAGCAGTACAACAACGACTCACGAAGACCGATGGAACGACGAAGAAGATACCAGTCAGCAATGGGGTCGCTGCCCATTCTGAACGGAGGAGGCAAACAGCCCGATGCCATTAGAGCACGCCAGAAAAGGCTCCACGAGAACGACACCGCCAGATGACGCTTACAGTCGGAAATTGGAACATATCCTCACTTAGAGGGAAAGAACAAGAGTTGGTTGATGAGGCCATAAAGCACCAACTCGGCATTGTTGGACTTACGTCAACAAATCTCCAAGGTTTTGGACTCCTGACGCTCAGCGGATAAAAGCTATTCAACTCAGGCGTCGATGTCACCATGCCCTCTCATGTCTATGTTGGTGTTCCGCTACAACCTATCCTCCCAGATAGAATCATTGATTGGAATCCTGTCACCGGAAGGGCGGTAATCCTCTGACTGAAGCTACAACAGGCTAAAGCGTTAAGCTTGGTACAAGTCTATGCGTCAAATTTTGAGAAAGAATATGATGACTCCTTGAGGAAACGCTGCGTGCTCTGTCCGAAGTGCCGAATAAAGAGTCCCTCATACTCATGGGGCAAATTTAATGCGCATGTCAGAGTAGACGCTGAAAAGTGGAACGGCATGATTGGAAAAAAACAGCCTTAGCGACCTCAACAATAACAGCATGAAGTTGTTGCGGTTTTGTGCAAACAACTGAGTGTCCATTGTAAATACCTTCTTCGAGCAACGAAGAGTGCATCAGTACACCTGGTACCGGGAAACTTGTGCACACAAGTCGATGATCGATTTGATAATCGTATCGTCTGACTTGAAACGCTCGGTAAAAGATGTTCGCGTTAAGCGAGGCGCAGAGCTATCAACCGATCACCACTTTGTTGTTGGCACGATGCGCTGTAAGAAATGGAGTACCATACGAAGATCTGGTGGCAGAAGCAACTGGAGAATCAAATGGGAAAGATTGTCTTCGGTGGACACGAGAGCGAAATTTGCAAATAACATCGCACGACGGTTTGAACAGATCCCAGTGATGACAACTGATGTTGAAACCGAGTGGCAGCTCTTTAAGAAGCGGTGAATTGCTGCGGATTTAAGCGGACTGGGCTATCGCATTGAGGTCAGAAGGATCTTCCAGGTGGATGCGAGAGGTACAACTAGCTGTTACAAAAAAGAAAGCAGTGTTCCAGAAATGGCTCAGAAACAAAGATCCTTCTACTTGAGTGCGATTTGTCGAGGCACGCAAGGCGCCCGTGAATGCTGTGGCAAAAGAGACAGCTGATTCCTAGGAGAAGTTCGGTGAGGGGTTGGAGTCAAATTTAAATACGGCAAACAAAGTAATTGAGGAGGACAGATCTGGACACCCTCTTGCCAAGGATGATGGCATTCGTTGGCGATGGAGAGAGTACTTTGAGGAACTCCTTAACTGCGAGAAATCGCAAGAAAACTCGCCTGTAGAACAGCACAGATCCGATATTACTATCTCTTTAGATGAAATTAGACAAATTGTGAAAAGCTTGAAAATGGTAGGGCAGCTGGAATTGAAGAAATTGGCCCTGAAATGCTCAAGGCATTAGAGGAACAGGGCATGTGCTAACTTAGACGTGTCTGTCACAGGGCGATGTCTGCTGGAAAGACACCAGCGGACTGGACAACGGGAGTTATTGTTCCCATATTCAAGAAGAGAGACCACAAGGAGTGCTCCAATTATAGAGGCATTATGTTATTGAGCCTCCCAGGTAAAGTCTACTCAAAGGTACTAGAAACGGGGGTGTTGCGGAATACCTGACTGCATTATGCAAGAAACGCAGTATGGCTTGAGGCCCGGTCGAGGCATCTCTGACCATGTATTTGCCCTGCGCCAGATTGTTTAGTAGTCGTGAGAGTATGACCGTCCGATATACCTGTGTTTTGTTGGCCTAGAAAATGCGTATCTTCGGATTCCGCGCAACAGTCTCTGGTCATCCCTGCGAGCATACGGGATACATGGCCAGCTGCTAAGAGCCATCCAATCACGGTATTCTGATAGTAGGAGTTGCATCGGAGTAAATGGTATAAGATCGAAACCTTTCAACTTTGACACTGCTCTCTACCAAGTCTGCGTCCTGTCCCCTTGCTTACTTGTGTTGTTCATGGATAGAATATTCAAGAGAAGCCAAAATGATGAGTATATCGATGTAGGATATGTGAAGACGAGAAAGATGCTGTTTTCAGGCGACCATGTGTTATTAACATTTTGTGCTGTTTGCAGAGATCCCTAGAAATGTCGGCAGCCGAGTGCGACGTGACCGGCATGCGTATTAACGCATCTAAAACGAAAAGCCTAGTGCTTTCTCGCTCTCTTGCCGGTTGCTCTCTTCAGAAAGGGAAAGCGGTGAAGCAGATGGAAAAGTTCAAGTACTTCGGGGTCGTGTTTACTGCTGATGGAAAATCTGAGGACGAGATCAACCGGCGGACTGGAGTAGCCAGTGGCATTCTATGTAAACTAATGTGAATCATCCGACTGTAGCAGAGCTGAGTTTGAAAACTAAGCTCTCAATATTCAAGTCGATCTTTATCCCCATACTTACCTACGGTCATGAATCGT